TATATATGGGTTATGAATGTATTTTATTATATAAAGTGGATGTCTATTTACAGTATATACAACAATATACAGTTTCATGAGGTAGAATACTTTATTTTCTCTTCATTTTAAGCTTTTTAGCAAGCGCTAAAAGCTTATTGGTCCTCTCCGTCTTTTTCCACTCTCTTTTTAGCCAACTCCTCTTGTTTTTACACATGCTCCAGGCTGTCGAAAAGCGCTTGAGATCGAGTAGTTACTTTTCAGTAGAAATGTCTGTTTTCGGTGTTTCACCGAGGTTGTGTGACTCTGTAAAGCTCTCCATCCTCTCGATCCGTATAGAATGACATCGTCACACACTGTACACAGAGCTTTACCGGTGACATCGAGCTTTTTCACGAAATCCGACACAAGCACAATGGTTCCTCTTTACTGTTTCCTACTAGGGACACCGTCAGCTTACTATCCAACCAGTCCCATCGAAACGTGTTTTTCAGATCCGCATCTATCTGACGCACTTTAGCTTTGTCACGAGTCTCGATAACATTCGGCATTCGCGAGAAAGGGGTTTAGGAAGGCGAACACGGATTGGTTGTGATTTGCATTTGCCGATATAGCGACAACAAGTAAGACATCATACACGTCCAATCGCAGGGCTGCTTACAATCGGAAGATGGAAAGACTGATCGGGTGAGCTCGTGAAAACTAGACGATAAGGTACCTGACCCACCCTAAAATTTTCTCAACGGATTTAGACGATTCACAAAAATGATCAATTTAAGAAATAAAACGGCGGATTTCCACGTATCCGCGGAAAATTGCCATCCCTGAGTTAAAGCTGATCGGAAAATTGATAAATGGATGGATTTATTTTTACGTGTTCTTCAATGTAGATATGAAATCTTGTTTTTTGTGTGTTCAATTCATTAGTTTGGGTCTTTAGCTATTATTTTCCTTAGTATGATTTTGTTTTTGTAACACTGCAGAATTGCCACAGAGAATCTGTCACCTGAAGAGAAGTTTACAAGCCATTCGCCTAAATGTCAAAAGGACATCAGCCCAATGCAGGAAATTCTTCAAACCAAAGTGGAGCTGTTACCAGAGGTACACACTGATGTCTTGCACAGGATGACTTCACTGTTAGTAATCAGAACCAGACACTGTTTGCTATTCATCTCCCACCATTTTCGTGTTTCTGTTGAGTTCAGGAGGCCCAACCGGCAAGAGACAAGGCTGATCATATGGCTTTGCTCGCATACTCTGAGACCAAACACTGCCAGGCTCAGGAGAGTTTATATGATGACAAAGACAGGTGATGTCACTAAGTTGCTTATGCACAAAGCAAAATTAGAATGGGCTTTAAAATACGCACATACATGCAAATGCACACATGCACGTACACATACACACACGCGTCTAGAATATGCTCACATTATTTATAAATTTGTTCTGTAAAAGTTGTACACTAACGGTATATGTGTATGTTCTTGTAACGTGTTAGTTAGGAGGACTACACATAACGTAGGGTTGTTATGTATGATATCAACTCGTTTATTAATTCATAGAATCATTGAAAGCAGTGATATGAGACTTTTAAGTTGGCCCCTAACTGCTCAATTTGTGCTCATCGTGAAATGTGCTGGGAGCTCCATTTGCTTCTATGCCAAACAAATCTGCTTCAAGTTCACTGTCTCATACCTGTCAACTTTTCGGAGCGCCAACCTGTATAAACTACCAAAAAAATCCTTATAAAAAGCAAACAATCCTTATAACATACCAAAGCATTTTATATGTCAAAATAACGGCAGAAAAAAACCCACGAAATATGAATGATATATTTGTTTCCTTGTAGAACTTGCTTGTACACTACTGAAGTATGCAATGAATACTCTGCTGTTTTCAACTAGGAACCACGTGATTTACTGGAAAGTTACCGGAAATGAAAACATTCGAGTAGACTAGCACCATTCTGGGCAAAAGCAAACCTGTTAGGGAAAAAAAAAAAAAAAAAAAATTTTCAGAATCCGTATGATTTGTGCAATATGGCCATATACGTAAGATTCACCACAAAATCCGTATGAACTATGGCTAAACCGTATGAGTTGAGGTATGCTGTCTGCTTGTAAAATCTCAAAATTAAGTAGCATTTTAACCACTACATGAGTGATTGTCCTTCAGGTTGATTGATGGTCTGGTGCAGAAGAACCAATCGCTCAGCCTGCAGGTTGAACAGCTTGAGGTCAAAGTTCAAGACCTTTTTGCTTCCCTCCTAAAGAAAGAAGAACAAATTGAGGTTTGTGTGCTCCATTCATGTGTACTGATTGTGTTTTGGGGTGTCATGGAAAGAAAAAAAAAATCACATTCGGCCCCACCACTTCCAAGCTTTAAATTGCAAATACTGTTTTCTCTGGCCCCAGTCAGTCCTTGGCCCTTCAAATGATCATCACTTTTCTGTCCCTTACACTGCCATTCGCCCCATCTCAACTTTCAAATCTAAACACTCCACAAAAGCCCATCCAATTTCAGCCTACATTTCACAGCTCATAGTGAGGTTAGAGAATGCTGAGTATGACAATCACATGATATTTTACACTGTTTATAGTCAGTCATTGCACCCTCAGAACATGGAGAAACATCCCCACCTACTGGGAAACACCAGTCAACGGAATGCAGCAGCTCCCTTTTCTAAATGATTCGTTGCGTGTGGAAAGGCCTGGTTATTTTTAACTTTCATTCGTATGATTGCAAGGACTCGTTTTACTCTAATTTAGAGCCAAAGTAATTTTTAGGATTCTATATCGCATGTCCGATTGTGTGGGATTAACTCTCAATTTATCTGAAATTAATGAGGGAAGTCTTTAATAAGGATGACAAAAATAGTGCGAAGTTAAATAAAAAGTATTTCATAAGTGGGATACATGTATTTATGTGAGATAAAGGTATTTAATAATATTTTAAATTCATGACGGAATTCTTAAATAAGAATGATTAAAATATTATAATGTGAGATTGAAAAGCATTTAATAATCTGTCAATGTACTTGAAATTGATGAGGTTCCAGTGGTTCTTAACCTGGGTTAAATCGAACCCTAGGGGTTCGGTGAATCGGTCTCAGGGGTTTGACAGAGCCTCTACCATACAACAAAAACAAATTAGACTTATGTCTTGAATTTGTATTTACTTTTTTCTGTTTTTAATATATGCATTTTTTAATGTCTTGAATTTGTAAAAAATCCGATTTTTATTTTTCACTAAAGAAGGGTTTGGTGAACTGGTTGGGTTTGGTCCCTGTAACAAGGTTAAGAACCACTGTTCTAATCTGAATGGCTAACAGTGTTCTCTCTATCCCCCTAGTGGCTAATCCTAAAATACCTACAGTATTCTAATGCACGAGCCCAGGGGTCGGCAACCCAAAATGTTGAAAGACCCATACAGGACAAAAAAACAAACAAAACTAACAAATATGTCTGCAGCTGCAAAAAAATAAAAGCCTTCTATAAAACTTACAATGAAGGAAACACATGCTGTATGTATGTAGGAGACTGGACTGTCTCAGAATTGTTAATGTTATTCATTCCTTTGTTGTGTATTCACAAACGCCCCCATAAAATGTATTTTGTGATTTCCTTGATTGATTTTCTGTTTTGGTGCATTATTTTCACTTTTCTTAGTGTCATTGAAGAGATTATTCATTTCCGTTTTTCGGAGGCTCTGTATTTGAACGCCTCTTGAGTCGAAAGAGAGAAGAGAAGGCACGGAGTTGGACGTAGTCACGTCTGTGTTTGTCGAGACGGTTAAAAGCATAAATAAAGTGTACGTTTGTCAGAGATTTTCTCGGACAAAGTTAAAGAAATGACTCGGCACACAGGAAAATTGTCTTCAATATCGGCGGGAGCGGATCTCCGAGAGCGAACGACGGTAGTTGCTTCGATGATCAAACACTCTCTAGCTCCCTTCCCGCCAATTACGACTTTTATTGTAACATACAAGGAAAACACTGCCCCCAACATTTGCATACCGCACCCCCGGTCCGGCCCCTCGGTGGTGATTGGTTACCTGAGTTTAAGCTTTGAACCACCGGTACATTGGTGCCTTTCTGTCTGGTCTACACTGTATCAACATATCGCAGACTTTGCGGACGACAAATGTCGCCTGGGCGCGACGGGTGTTCTCAAATCGTCTTTTGTTGTTCAACCGCTGTTCCCAAATTACTCGTTCCCCCTTTGTGACCGGATCTGGCACTCTCTCCTCTGATCGCCCACCCGCCTTGATGTGTTAATTGTGGTGTGGGCTGCAACAGCCCTCCGCCCAAATGGCCGGCACCTTCTGAACAGGAATTTGGGGGTGCTAATTACGCACCCAGACGCTTCGACGTGCCCAGATCAAATGAAACTTTAAACATGATACAATTTCGCTCATAGATTCCTCTAACATTCCCTCCTCTGTATCATAATTAAAGTTTCGTCAAACGCCCAGGTGACATTGATATGCAATTGCACGGGTGGGAGGAAAAACTGTCCTGAAGTTGCTCCGATGATCACACTCTCGAGCTCCCTTCCCGCCAATTCCGACTTTTATTGTAACATACAAGGAAAACACTGCCCCCGACATTTGCATACCGCACCCCCGGTCCGGCCCCTCGGTGGTGATTGGTTACCTGTTTTTTAAACTTGAACCACCAGTACGTTGGCGCCTTTTCTGTCTGGTCTACATTGAATTAACATGTTGCAGACTTTGCGGACGACAAATGTCGCCTGGGCGCGACGGGTGTTCTCAACTCGTCTTTTGTTGTTCAACCGCTGTTCCCAAATTATTCATTCCCCTTTTGTGACCGAGTTTCGCCCCCTCCCCTGTGATTGCCCACCTGCATTGACGTGCTAATTGTGGACTTCAACAGCCCTCCGGCCAGGTGGCCGGCGCCTTTGTGCACAGGCATTTGGAAGTGCTGGATACGCGCCCAAACGTTTAGATGTGTCCAAATTAAATGAAACTTTAAACATGATACAATTTTGCTCATAAATTCCTCTAACATTCCCTCCTCTGTATCATAATTAAAGTTTCGTGAAACGCCCAGGTGACATTGATATGCAATTGCACGGGTGGGAGGAAAAACTGTCCTGAGGGAAAAGGGGGTGTAACAAGATTAGGACAGAAAACCCTTCCCGGGCAATGGCTGCACACAGTAAATGAAAATCGAATCTAACCTAAACACACAGTAAATGGAAATCAAAAATCTAATCTAACTAACTACTAACTACTATATACAAAGTAAGCCAACCCAAGAACATCAAACACTCACATCTGCAATGCTTTTCTGTGAAGTCGTCATACAGGCTTACATAAGGCTACAGTAAATCAATCATCGTCACAATCATTGTTAAAATAATCTTCATCAGAATCCGTGTGCACCTGTTGGTACTCCGACATGGCCACTGTCAGCTGAGCCGCCACTTCACTTTGATAGCATCCATGAATTTGGCAGCACAGCCTCTGACCAGCAGGATCCCGCAAGCGACACGAAAACAGGAAAATAAAGATATACCAACAATCGTCTCCTGCCTCCAGACGTCTAATCCCATGAGGCAAGTCACTCCTTTCGTGGGCCTATGTGCCCACCGTGACTGCTCTAAGGCCCATGAAGATGATGCCGATGCCGATGATGCTGATGATGCATAGGCAACGCTTGACTGCCCTTCCTGTGGTCTTTCTTGAGAGGGGTGTGTTTACCACGGAAAACCCTCTCTCCCACTGTGGTCTTTCGGCGGTACGCAAGGTCAGCGCACTTGGACTTAGGTGCTGATTCTCCTTCCTGGGACTGGCGTCGCTAGGCCCCTCAACCTTGAACCAAAGGAGCTTGTACTGCGACTGGTGGATCCAGCCATCGCGTCCTTCCACCTTGACCGCAGTTGTTGTTGCTGCAATCACTTGGGAGGGGCCATTCCAGCGTTCACTGTCCCAGAGAAGTCTTTTCAGCACCTTGAGGAAATTCTGATCACCACTCCGGACCTGGCGAGTCTGTGGAGCAGAACACCCTGGCAAGTCATTGTGCCTATGCATCTCTTTCTGATCAAATAGTCTTTTAGTCTCTCTCATTGTCTTAATGAGCCTGGCTTTGACAGTTCCGTTAGTGCGTTCCACAAATCCAACCGATTGCAGGTGGTACGCACAGTGTCGCTTCAAATCAATGTCCAACAATTCTCCCAATGCTTTCACAGTTCCCGAATCATCGCGAGCGCTCGAAGACAGTTCAACCCATTTTGAAAACACATTAACAATGACAAGACAGTATCGTTTCCCTTGTGTTTTGTTCAAACAGATTACAC